TAAATAAAATACACTAAAAAATAAGTATATCGATGCGCTCGTGAATAATAAATCAATGTATTGATGGATGAATGAATCAATACATTGATGAAAAATATATTCAGGTATTCATTAATAAATAGATCAATAAATAAACTGGTGCATTAATTAATAGATAAATCATTACATTATAATTGCAATACATTGATAAATGAATAGATAGATGAATATAATATTGCAAGAATACCAATTTGAAAATATTGATTAATGATTTGTTATGAAAATATTTGTTTTTTATTTAATTTAAAATTACTTATTTACAAATAAATATTTAAATATCTATTTACTATAAAATAGTTTTTAACAAAATCGGTGCAATAGAAAGTACTTACGAACACAGGTTCGTTCTTTTCTTTATTATTGGTTCAATTAAAATATATTTTTATATGCACCGGGGGATGCATATATAACAATGAAATATGGTATTAAATATATATATATATATATATATATATTAAAATTGTATGTGATCAGCAATTATTTGAAATTTTTGAAACGGACAAACGGATCGGATTTTCCACTCGATATATTTATAACAATTTATTTTGAGTTCATTACGAACTCTATCGTGGGTTTTTGCAGTAAATGGGTAGATAGATCTATATATATATATATATATATATATATATATATATATATATATATATATATATATATAATCAAGCAGGCAATTCGTCAAATTAAAAAATTAAATATTCACAATTTTTTATTCGGTTTGTTTCGACATTGATGATGTTTACTCCATATACTGCATTTTGATAAAGTCTATATAAAATATGATAAAAACTACGAATTTAACTATTTATTATTATAATGTACATATTCAAGAATAAGATAGTGAAATTATATTATTAAATATGTCTAAAATCCAAAGAATAAAAGAACTGACTAAATTTAAAGAGTATCTATTATTTATTAAATGTATAAACTAATTAACTATTATTAGTTAATATACTACTCAAACTTTGAATTAAAAATAATTATTTTTTGAAATTGAATAATACATTTAATTTCAAATTTAATCATTCTTTCTGATGACTGTACTATACTCAAAAAATACATCGTGGTGTCAAAATCGGTTCCATTTCGACATCTCTAGTAGGTATGTGTGAATGTAGGTTTGTGTATGGATATATGGTTTTAGTATGTTTGGATTGATTTTTAGATGTGTGTATGTGGAGAAAGGATTTTGCACGAATAAGCGTTTATAATACAAATGGAAAATTGAAAATTCGTTTTGATAGAGGACATGATATGTGCTACTTGAAACTCAATTATCGTCCTCATATATATATATATATATATATATATATATATATATATATTTATATATACATGATGCTGAAGGAATTGATTTCTCGATGATATGAGGAGACACACATATTCAAACTACAAGTACATAACAAATATACAATTAGGGACTCCGATTGTTGTACTGTTTTAAAAAGTTCTGCAGATCGCACAGTTTGTTTTATGATCTTGTAATTTAAATACGACGTACCTTAAAATATCTTTCACCATGGCAAATACTAAAATTGATAGGTTTTTAACGAAGTTGGTAGTTGCAAAAGATTGCATACTAACACACCCGTTTTTGCTTGTGATGCAATCGTACAAGTGGTATTTTTAAAGATCTTTACATGCCCCCCTCTTTGTACTACAATACTGTAATTTCACTAGGTTATTACTTAAAGTGCCTATTTTGATAATAAATAAAAAAAAATTATTTTTTATATGAATATTTTAAATTGTGAACGTTTTCGTGCGAAAACTTACTGACATGTGAGCATAGATGTAAACAAATTAGTTGCATTTTCAATGAGCCCTGCTAGACGTACAGTTTGTACAAAGATCATATGATTTGAGTATATAATGTTTGCAAAGTGTTGTTAGAACAGCATATACTAAAGTAAAACTATTAATTCACAAACCTTTTATATAGAATTTCATAAACATTTGCACTTGACTCTATTTTCGGACCAGTTTATTCAATGCAGATGATTCCTACTTTCCAAAGCCTACTTGAGTATACAAAATTCCTTAATTATCATAATAAAAAATAGAGTTTACTATTCAATGTTATGCAAATTAGCCAAATATTGTATCTATTTTAGGTAAAAGAATCAAAAGTTTCAGAAAATTTAATAAATGTACCAACGACTACTCGTACGATCGAAGTTGCCATACTACAAATATTCCTCGGTTAAAACTCAATCCTCAAAACTTGTAAATATTCACACAACTACACACATGTTCACCTACAATCTCTACAATGTAATTTCGCCCTCTCACGCACACAAGGGGGCCCCCATAGAGAGATTCGAGAGAGAGAGGGATTCCCGTATTCCGCGTCGCCGTCGTTGTCGACGCTAAAACTGATCATGCAAGAAATTCAATTTAACTTGAATTGACTGACGTGGGAATCTTATTGGGTAAAACTGGTTTCTGAGAAATTCCTCCAAAGGAAGAAAGGGGGCATCGAGAACATCCCCTAAACGCAACCCCTACGGTGAACTGAATTATGGAGTTAAAGATTACATTTCATGTAAAGGCAAATTAGGTACAGTTGTTGATAATTTATTATAATTCAAAAAATTTATTCAGAAACTATTGGTGGATACATTAAGGTAAAATATATTCAAAATACAAGTTCGTAGCACGAACAGTGCATCCTGCAGAGCTCCATTAATAAGATGAATAACAAGCACTAATATAGTGTATTATAACAAAATTGGAAAGGTTGTTTTAAAATTAATAATAATAAAATAATGGGTAGTACTGCCTTAGGGCAGGTCTATGAGTTAAGTTAAACTCCAACTCGGATCAGGGAAGAAGAGTGTGAGAGGTTTCCCATTTCGATTTTCACAGCTTCACATCGCAGTTCTCGAGATGGGCTTATTTTCAAATGGAAACATAGAGCGCGGGCTCGAACTCGCAACAAACAATATATGTATTTAGTATTTCACGTTAAAATTGGCTTAATGGTGAATAATATACTGAAATACCAATGTTGTAGTACACACACTGCGCCCTGTAGACCTCGCCAAAATATCATCTTGCAGTAGATTGTTCTTCACTTACATACATGTACCTATGAATTACCTACCTGTCTACCTGTTTACTTGTCTGCCATTCCCATCTACCTCTAAATTTCTAGAGCATTCTACATGTCTATTTGTTATTTTCCTACCTATTCACATGTTTATCCGTCTACCTACTGAATACATTGTTATTAAATCTCTTGTGAATTAAATTGTGCGTTCTGTAGAGCTCATTAAAAATGTAATTCAACTTTATATAATATATATATATATATATATATATATATATATATATATATTGTTGTTTCCGTTTGCGGTTGTTGCTTCCTGACCGCCCTTGCTCTCTCTTTTTCCCTAAAGAGTGGAGAATAAAAAGTAAAAGAATGAAAAGTTTTCGCCACCACTTTATTTTTGCAAAATTACCAAACATATTTCTTCATTTCGCGCGTCATAACTCTGTGTTTCAATTACATTTTGCTCTATCCGCTCTCTCTCTCTATCTATAAACAAAGAGAGAGCCAGAAACTTTAGTCCGAGAGCCAAGACATAAAAGAATTCTAAATAGTTATTAACTTCCCGTAGGGCAGTTAGAGCAATGGGCCGAAAATCGAAAATGAAAATTTTTGCATATCTTCACGTTTTGAAGGTAAATGAACATTTTGGCATACCTCAGAAAAAATGGAGGTGTGCGTGTGTTTTGTGTATTCGCATTTTTTCATTCACGTTTTCGGGCGCACGGATCAACCGATTGGAATGGTTGAAAAAACATACCCGGATATAAATCCGTTCGGATATAACTCCGGTCGGATATGAATTTATCCGGATATAACTCCCGTCGGATATGACTCCGGTCGGATATGGACGAATCATTTAAACTTAATATAAAAATAAATAATATAACTAGTATTTTATTTTCTTCCTTTTAACACTTTTGTAATACATTAGTTACCATAAACATATAAAACTAATATAGATCCTGAAATATATGGATGGGCAATTCTTCGAGTAGGCAATCCTTAAAGTGAAACCACGTTTTTAGTATTTTAATATATATATATATTTATTTCCGTACAACAAATCTATATATTTAATATTTATATATATAATTCACAAAGTTTCTTAAATCCTGTACAATTTATTGTTCATATTGATGCTGATTTTTTTATAATTATACAATAATTATTTTAATTTATTTACAAATTTTTAATAAAACAACTATAATTTTATTTTAATTATCTAAATATTTATATACATATATATATATATATAATTACATATAGTAAATGAAATAACTCTATAAAAATAGAAATTAACTAGTTAAAATAAAAAAATTTGCATGAAGTGAAATGTACTTCTATCATAAATCAGCAAATAAATAAATAATTAAATACAAAATATTGTAATTAAATTACAAAAATATAGCCAATGCGAAATAAATTTAAAAACGTTTAATTAAAATTTAATTGCGCAAATGAAATAAAAGTAGAAACAATCGTAAAAATAAACTTCAGCATATTTATATTGAATATAAAAATAAACAATATAATGAAAATAAGAAAATAAAATTTAATATAAAAAGTTCCAAATTTTTAAACAAATTTTTAATACATATATAAGTACAAGTACAGTAACTGATTGATTGTACCTGAAGTTTTTTTTATAATATTAATATTTTTTATAATATAACAAATTTTTTATAATATAAAATTTATTATATAAAAATAATAATAAAAAATTATGTTATATATTTAATAAAAATAATTAAATAATAATATAATAGAGACACAGAGAGTGAAAAAAGAGGATAATAAATAATAGGTATATTATTATACAGAGTTTTTCTATCAAATATTTACAACAGGATAAATACTTATCATGATTATTTAATTTTTTGGCAAACACTCGTGAATTTGTTGTCGTTTAGTGTGTTAATTAATTAATTTTAATTAATCGTTTATGTTAATTAATTATTTTTCCGAATTTATTCTCTTGATTTGCTACCGCAGAATGCACAGAACTATGAAGACTCCGACAACCGTCGATGCTATAATTCCATTGTGGGCTATTGTGCCTGTAAGGAAACATAAAGGCAATAACAATAAAAAAATAAAATTACTAATTTCTCTTAGACTTTGCTCTATACTTCGGTTCATAATTATTAATAATTAATTAGTAGTCTATCTGAATTGAGTAGGAGAAAGTACATAAAGTTGAACATGATATAGAAACTTAAGAGAAGTTCAAGAAGTTAATAAAATGTGGTGCTTCCATTTAGTGGACCTGCCTTCAGGCGGTGCATGTATATATATATATATATATATATATATATATATATATATGTTACATATTTATAAGTATTTCATTTCCGATTCTTCGTAATTCTCCCGTCCAACAAAATAAGATTAGACAAGAATTGAAACCTATCACGATATAAAAGTAGTGTGAAAGAAGCAGAAGCCATTTCATAAAATGAGCAGCAATATCAGGTTTCGCAATAAATTTCACACGGCGCCACTCACCATGACAAAAGACTCGAGCCGAAACGTGTGCTGCATCGTAAGGGCATAAACAGTGAGGGTTGGAAATCGATAGAAAATATAGTAAACTGGTAGAAATAGATACATTAGTTATTTGAAAAATTTGTTCGGTGTACTTCTATTATATTGTCCTGCCCTGTTCTCCACTGTGTCAAAAGTTTGAAACGTTAAAACGAAAACTTTATCATATTACTATGATGAATTACGCTGGTGGAGTTGAACCGACGTCTGCACAGACGGTTCATTATTCATTAATTGTCAAAGTTTCAACATTATTCATTAGTTTTGCGACACAAGGATTTGTCAATTTTGTTTTAAATTGTTTAATGTACAGTAAAAAAGACGTGGACGACCGCCAAAGCCACCAAAAAAATCAAGCAAACTCAACATCAAAAGTTAACATTAAATGAGAAGTGACAACAAAACCTTTTGAATTTTTTGAACATTTTTTCTATTGCAACAACGTGTATCTTTTCTTCACTTACCGCTCCCGGAGTCCCTGGTCGCCAAAATGGGCGCCAACCGGGGTCCTTCCTCAAGAATGACTTCTCCGCTAGCCTTGTACAATTGGTACAGCTCCGCGGTGCACCTGAGTTTAATTTTTCCGTCTTCGAACGCCCTCACGTCCAAGGGAAGTTCTAGATATATTTTGGACCGCTTTCGTTCTGGTGGAATGCCCCCTTTGGAGGACGAAGAGCCCCCTGCTGTAGATGGAGTCGTAATGTTTGGGGTCGGCAAAGTGTAGGGTCTTGATTGTTGGGCGCTTCTTGGGATCCTTTTGAGACCTGGAGTGGGAAAGAGAATTGCTTTGGTGAGTAAAAGAATGGAGATTGCTAAAATTGTGTACTTTGGGCTCTAATTATTTTATTTACATCGAATAACGGGAATGCAATAGATTTCATTTAAAAAAAAATATTTAAGAATTGCAAGTAAACATATTAAGGTTTTATTTTAAACTCGATTTCAAAGTATACCGAGTAGCCATATGGTTGTATGAAATATTGTAGATTAGAATTTGTAGAAATTTTCTAAATATGTAGTTTGTAACATCAGGCCAACGATTTCGAGGTTGTAATACTATTAACAGATACTGGGCTTTTTCTATAAATTAGTCTAATTATCAATTTTCATTTCACTATTTGAAAGTTATCTAAGATTTAATAAATAAATGATCAAATAAGTCGCGCTACCGAAACGCGTATACTATAAATAGTACGTCGGGATTATTCTAGTAAAATAAAATAAATAAAAAAAATAAAATCTATTATAAGATTAATATTTATCCATCCAGTTATGAGTTATGAGAAATACTTTGTGAGTCGTATCTTAAAATAACTTCCGAGTCATCGTAAATAATGTAGATATAAAAATATTCATGTAATATCTAGGAATAATATTCATAGAAAGATGTATCGCGAATAGAGAGAGATCTGGGGAGCGAATTCTTCTAAATAAAATAAATATATAAAATAGATAAATTTACTAAGTTAGTAAAGTAATTTAAATAAAATAAAACTAAAGGAAACTTTATATGTGTGCCTACTTTCTTCTCTACTCTTTTTTATATTAAAAGATAAAATATATATTATAATGAACTTTATATAATTATAATGAACTTCTTCAATATGTTTTATTTTTCGGTTTTTGAATTTATATTTTATATGAAATAATATGTTAAGTATTATGAAACAACTTTTGTGAAAATATCTTCACCTGGTTTTCGAAGTTTATAATCATCCAGCAGGGCTTCAGCCCCAATATTGTGAAGCTCATCAATTCTTTCCATTGATATGCTTCTGGACTGTGCAATTGCATTGAGACTATCCGGTGGATGATTCGAGTAAAATATCTTGTTTATCTTTAAAACAAAAAAGATGATAAGATAAAAGTTAATAGAACTATTTGTTTTATTTATTGTTTGGTACCTTGTTGTCGTTTATGTACCAAGTAAGGTTTGCTGGAGGCGTCGAAGGGGGCGACGTGCAACTTGCCTTCAGGGTGTCGCCTGCGGAGTAGCGCCTCTTCTCGGCGTAGATGTCGGGGGGCCCAATCGGTAAATCTGGAATAGGAAAGGACATTTTAAAACAAATTGCTATGCAATAATGAAGCAACTAGAATTATTTAAAATTTTAATCGCATGTAAAGCAAGAAATGATAAAAGAAAACTATTTTTTGTATCCTAAACCAATCGATTAATGTAAATGATGTATGAGACAAATGTACCTAGATCAACTAAATATTCTAATTTCATTCATATAACTCGGAAATATTCTCCAGATGGATTATAAATAAAATCGTTCGTTCCTCCTTCGTCTCTTCATCTCCTGCTTCAACTCTTTAACACATGGTGGCTTTTTTATTCTATTTTCCCGGGTTTGTTAATTGAAGCAGATGTTCAGAGATATATTACTCATACTCATAAGTCCAGCCGGAAATGCGTATTGCATTAGTGCAGTTACACACACCACATGAAGATGATCCATGGCAACTGGGATCAGAGGTTCCAAAAGGAATGATGATACTTGAAAAAGATTTAACCCTGAAGTATCTAGTAAGATAACAGATACAGATGACAATGACTTTTATAACATAGTGTTGAAAAATATTATGCATTTTGGTCGATATTCTTTATGTAGAACTTAATCTTCAGTTGGGAAATTGAAATTGAAATGGACCATGCCCGTTTTTATTTAAAGTATTTTTAACAATTACTCCTACAAATTCTGACCTACTTCAGGAATATAATGGATGTATGTTTGTATAGATCCGAGGCATGGACTTCAAGAGAAGGAACACTACTAATGATCAAACAAAGGTCCGACATTTGAATCTGATAAAATTCAATGATCCCTAAAAATAGGAACACTATTGTCCTAGCGTGCCAGCTTCTAGGAAAAACGTATAATAGCTAACTGAGCGCTCATTTGAAAACTGATAAATGTAGCATTTGGACCAGGAAAAAATAAGATAAAACAAGTCATGTAAAAGATGCTCCTAAACCATCAACCTGCCTTCGTCATCATCAACACCCATATGGCGTCTTAAATCGCAAATTAACAAACGTGGGTGTTTCATCTATCCATCTATTCGGGGCCAAGTCATCAATAACGCATATTGAGCACTTGTCAAAACATATACATGTCCGAAAGGAGGATTCTATTCCTGAATCGCTTTTAACCCGTCTTAACTCCTCTGTCGATTTATCAAAAGCAGCCCGACCGCATGCTGTACACATTCTCGGCGATGCAGGGATTGGAAACATTTGGATAATGGATGGATGGTTGGGAAATTGGAGATGAATAAGACCATGCTGGAGTGTTAATTGATATTGGAGTCTGGGGTGTAATAGAAAGTTTTAGTACTGGTGATTCTTAAATAGTTTATATCTGAATATGTGGTATTTTCTGGACATAATTTGGCATGGAGAGAAAGATGTAGATACTAAGGCTCAATTAGAAGTCTCATTGAGCATTGTTGACTCTATTTGTATCCTTTGAATAGTTTATATTAGCAATTTGTAGCATTCTGATTATTGGTTTTGAGGTTGAATTGATTTATGGACAGATTCTTGAGAGAAATGCGAAAAAAAATTAGACATTGAGAAAATTTATAGTTGAGTCATGTATTATTTTTTTTCATAATTTTATTTGAACACCGATCAGAACTTATGGGTTCTATGAGCTGTTGTGATTAATATCTTACAAACTACGTTTGTTTTTACTACAGATGACAACCCAAACAGTTGTCACATCTCTGTATGATAAATTTTTATTACAATCTCTGTAATAGGGCAAGTATGGTGCAACAATGCCTGGTAAGGGCTGTTTTAACTTGGAAACATATTGCCATCTATATTTCCAAGTGAAAATCGTTGTCAATGTTGTCTGACAACAGGCTGCTCGAAGTGGGTATCGAACCCGGGACCTCTGAAACAAGTCCCGTCGCTCTTAACCGCTTAGCTACGGGCGAATCCTATGTATAATTTAATATTGAAAATTTGATTTTGATGGTCCTTATAAAAAGTAAATAAACACAGAATAATTGAAAACCATGCAACAATGTTTGGCTGAACTCCGAGGCAAATGCATCATTTGCTTAAGACAATGAAGTAGGAATGAGATAATTTTTTATAAGAGACAGATGCGGAAAATTACTCCATCCAGGTTGCTAGCTCCTGAATTATGGCATCTAACACTCGAGCGTGTTAATTTCATATTTCCGTTACAGAAATAACAAGAAGCGTTTCAAATCTATTTACTTTGGTGTATATATAGCTTCTTGGCTCATAAAATCCTTTCTGGATCGCAAAAAGGGAGTAATGTTCTCCTTGAAGATGACTTAAACGAATAATGATTATTTTATGGGTGCCTTTAGGCTTTTCATTGAAATTGTTTTTGAATCCTTTTTTAATAAATCAAGTCATGTGATGTAAAATAAAAACAACCGACCACCATGCCCTCCGGATAATAAAAAAGTATCCTGCTTTTGCCCCCTTGATTAATGGCGAACGTGATAAGATACTGATCACTCATTTGTTTACGAGTTTTCTTTAACGTTATTTCCTCGGTTTTTCCTTCTTATCAAAACGTTATGGGCATAAATCTTATGCCATTTCTGTAGGCCATTAGAAAACGAACTGTTTTTTCCCTTTTCTTCGTTTTTTTCTTGATGGCGTGTTCGGGGGCCCTTTTACGAGACTTGTTTCTGACTTATTATTAAGAAGGAAGCCGTCTTTTGAGTACGATATCCAGATAATCGTGGAATGGTTCATAAATATTTATTTCTTTTTTTAGGTTTAATTAAGACATAATTGTGTAAATTAAGTCTGTAATGCTCAAGGTCTCGTACTAATTAATAAGCAAAGTCTCGTAAAGCTCATTAAAATTGTCGTCTGATGATGGATTAGCATTTGCAAAAAGCATATTTTGATAAAATCTATTACAATAAAAAAAATGTTATAGAATAAAATCACATATATATAAGTGCAAATTTTAGAAATCTTATCATTTTTAGTATTTGTTATTAAAATAGACTCATATTGCAAGATTTTGGTGCGTTCTAGATAACTCATTAAATATATCATTTAACTTAAATCTTCACATCAACACTTATAAGTAGAGCACTTTTAGATTGACTTATAATTTTCAGTATTTGTTGACACTTTGTGTAATAATATATTCAAATTGTAAGATTGTAGTACGAACGATGAGTTTTGCAAAGCGATTTAAATATGTATTTGTATAAAATCCTTTTAAAGAATTATGATGTTTTTTTCTTCCGGACTGCAAGAGATTCCCTAGAATTTGTTCCTTTCTCCTCTTTTTGGAGAAAATCCGTAAATCTAACGCGTTTACAATTTAATTATTATTAAGACGCAATTTCCTCCTAATTCTCTTATATCAGGGATTTGCATCTTGGACGTTGTTTCTCAAAAGGGACGTGGACATTTATTTATTATATCTCTTGTAACTTCTAAAGCATTCGGATGATATGGATGATATAGTCAAGTATTCTGTACAAAATTAGATAAGTTACGATAATGGATAATATTTTTTGCTGTACAGCAAGCAACTGAGTATACTTTAAAATTGTAACTAAATTACGCGATTTTGTCCCATTTACTTTAAATTTATTATATCTATTGTAACGTTTAATTCGTACTTTCTATATAACCAATGTTTGACAAAGTTATTTATTTATAATTTACCTATCTATAATAACATATATTGGTCATTGAAAATAGACAAAAATAAAGTATTTTGTAACTTATTTGTGAATGATTATGATATCTTTGAACAATTTTAAAGTATACCTATATTTAAATATTAGATAAATAGTATACAAATTTAATTTAGTACAAATTTCCTAAATTCAGCATTTATATCAATCGACAAATGAGTCAAAAGTTACAAGAGATTCAATAGATAAATGCACGAATACATTGGAACTCGAATGAAGATTAAATTCGATGCACATACATAAGTGCGATCTAATTAATTTTTTGAGTTTGAAAAGTGCAATTTTATTATATCAATAAATATTGTAGTTTACATGTTATGAGTGGTAACTGAAGTTTTTTACACTCAGACATTTCGATCTTACTTTTATTGAATTAACTACTACAATAGATTCCATGTATGTTGTTATAAGTGTAATTGTCGCTATGGGTTGATCAGGGTATAGTTTGCCATAGCGTGTTCTTAGAAGTGCACTAAGCACTTGTGGGACCATACAATATTAGACAGTTTCGTATATAATTTAACATTATACTCGATTACATTATTCATATCAATCTATTGGTTCCAAAGTTACAAGACTTTCAGTGAAAAAAATGTACAGGAACGAGTTACACAAGCGGGCTAACGCGTCGTTCCTTCCCCACCGGTGCGCCCCCCTGTCTATTTCGCCCCCGGGAACACCTTTTTATCGCAACGATCTAGTTTATGGCGAAGGCGCAATCGTTATGCTAATGCTCTCGCAAAGAGGAAGAAAAAAAACGAAGAGATGTACAGATTTTGTGAAGTTTAAGCGCAAAGTAAATTACTACAGATTGAATTAATGGAGTTAGGAGCAAAGGGGAGAGGGTGGAGCACTCCCAACTGCTCCAACGTAGCCCATTTTCTTTTGTTTGTGCTCTAATGGATTTTTAGAATTGGAAAGTATTGTTTTAAATTGCTTGCTGGAGTTTGTTTATGCAGGTGGACCGGGATGTATATACATCACTCATATTGATGGAATTGATCGAAAAGTTACTTTTAAACGTGTCAGAAATTTATATTCGATAAAAATTTTAAGAATATTATGGATACATAAGAATTTATCTCATACCTCATTCAAAATAATCGATTGGTTTAAAAAATACAACAAATATAATAAATATATCATCATGAATAACACTATATCTTCAAATGTGGTTTTAGAATATACCGAGTTGCTATAGGATGCTATAATGTTAGACATCATTACATATTATTCATTTTCGTACAAACTTCCGAGGTGCATCATCCAAATCAACCAAATGGTTTAAAAGTTATAAGAGATGCAATGAAAAAATCCACTAATTAGTCGCGGATTAGTGCTTCATGAATAAGAGTATATCTTCAAATGTGATTTTAGAGTATACCGAGTTGCTATAGGATGCTATAATGTTAGGCATCATTACATATTATTCATTTTCGTACAAACTTCCGAAGTGCATCATCCAAATCAACCAAATGGTTTAAAAGTTATAAGAGATGTAATGAAAAAATGCACTAATTAGTTGCGAATTAACAACGTTACATTGAATTCGAATGCTTTCCTACTAACTACCAAATTTCTAAAACAATTTTAAAGTATGCTAATTTGTGTTTATACATTATTTAATCAACGGTAATGTGGATAATTTAATTTGGCACAAATTTTTCTCATACATCATTCACATTGATCGAATGCTTTAAAAGTTATAAACGATTTAACAACATATGCAATAATATAAATAGTCTACTTTTAAAACTATAACAAAATATACCGAATTATTGCATCCATGGTATTATAATATCAGTAGACACTTTAAAGATTATTTGATTTTCTACAAATTCCTCAAAATTTATCATTGACTCTTGAATTTTGTAGACTTCTATTCAGTACGAGCTTTAATTTCGATATTAACTATTTTGAAAAAAAAACTTGTACAAAAGGTTTTTTTCAAATAGTCGACATTCTCTAAAAAAAATGTTACTTGTCCGTATAGTTGCCAATAGCGAGACATTCTACTTCATCACCTCCTAGAACTACAACTTTATAACTAAGTTTGTTCAATTTTTCCATGTGTTCCGCAATTTGATTTGAACAATATTTGCAGTACTAAAAGAAAAAACAATAGGTTTTCGAATAACGTTAATAAGAAAGTAATTAAACAAAACGCACTATCCGAAAACATAAATTGAAAATTTATTTTATCCTTTTAAGCTAATAATAAATGATTATGTAGCATATATTAATATACATTATGTGGTCTAGTCAATGTGAGTAGAATCAAATAGTTTCTGTTTCGATATGTTTTGAGGTTACGCCAAAAATTGAGTTTGAAAAAAGGGCCACTTTGGCATATTTTCAATGATATCTCAGCCATGAGGTGAGATACAAAGTTGAAATTTGGTATATCGGATGTTTTCAAAAAGGCCTTCAATATGACGTATAAATTATTTAAATATAAGGGTTTAGCCGATTATATAAGGCATTGCGCCCACACCTTTGCGTGACGTGACTATTATGTACTCGACTGGCAAACCCTTTTAACCGTCAGAATGGGCTGGCTGTTCACATATACTTTCTGAATAGTTAAAAGGATACACCCTCAAAATTTGAGCTTTGTGGGAGCAAGTCATAAAAAATATTGTTTTGTCATTTTCAAAAATTGAAGGTATGATGACGCAACCGCGGAATTATTGCCAGAATGGTACTAAAATATAATTAAAAAAAATTCTAGCTTTGCGAAAACAGGATAGTCAAGTAGTTCACTGGCTCTTAGACTAGTAGGGTAAGTAATTAATTTTTATTTTTGTCTAAATTCTGAAAATAACATTCAATAACTTGTGTAAAAATATATAGTAAAAGTATTGTTTGCTTTTTTTCGGCTTTTCAAAAATCGTATAAAATTCGTATCTCAAAACCAGATAATCTTCTTAAGGCACCATCCAATTAATGATCAATTGTATACATCCAAATAAAATTAAAAGTATATTGAGTTTCTCTGGCCTTGTGGTGTTAGGCAAAATCATAGTTTAAAAATTTTTGTTCATTATTCACAAATTCATTAATCGATTGGCTTTAGATTTATATACCAAGTACAAATACCCCTCAATCAAACTATAAACTATACCAACCTATTACAGTGAGTGTTCCAGCCACCATGGCCGTGTCGAACGATGGTGCGTCCGCCGACACCTCGCACCTATACCGGCCAGACATAGCAGGCGTCAGGTCCTTCAGGACCACCTGATGGGGCCCCGAGCGCCTCTCGTCGACCGACAGTCCCCCCGCTCCGGGAAAGGTGCGAGTGTGGGGCAACTCTTTTGGCAGGTACCGGAAGAACTCGCTTCGCCCTCGGTACCACTTGACGGTGTAAAGAGGGTCTCCTGGAAGGAAAGGTAGGGTGATTGATTTTTGGTCCAACGATTTAATTGATACAATAAAAATTATAAGATTTTCATCTAATGTGTTTTTGTTGTTTTTAATAGCGGATTATGAGTATGTCGAGTTGATTTAGGAACTTGGTTGTTAGACCACAGTTTTAACTATTGAAATTAGAGATGGGCTTATTATATCCGAAGCCGGATTGACTCGGATTTGACTCCGCTTCATGGTGGAGTTATATCCGCTAAACAACTCCACGACTCCGACAATTTTGAAACCGAAATACTCGAAACAAATGTGTTCTATAGTACGCTGTTCATGTATATAAGGATTTGTCAAATCCCATTAATTATTTGAAATAAAAATTTATGAATAATTATCAATAAAATAATTTTTCTAAAAAATTCACGAATAAATGACGAATTGTAAAATTTTTCGGTCGACCAGATGATCGACTCAGTGATTCGTATTTTTAGCAGTGTTGACCAAAGTAAAAACGCAAAACTTGAGAATCAAATTCAATTTAATGATTTTCTTTTGTTGAGAAAATGATTGATTTTTGGATTAATTTTATATCAAAAATTATGTAGTAAACTTTGTAATAAAACCAAAACATAATACTACTTATACTTCTGCTAAAAGTACTAATACTTCTGCTTTCAAAATTTTTCTTCTGCTATTTCCATTTGAAAATTAATATTATATCGCGTAGTTTGATTAGCATATTATTACTTTTACACAATTATATAATTGTGGAAAAGTAATAATATAATACTGAATATTTTTTACTGCTTAAATACTAATGATATCACTGATAAATTTTATACTCTAAAGTGTTGTTATTTCAGGCTATGGAAAAACAAGATTAAATAAATGTATTTTGTTTCGTATATTTTTCGGTATATTTACGGTCAAAGATTGTCGTAGTTAGAAATATGACCCCTTACTATTCAATAAATTATACATTTGAGCTATCCACACTTGAATACAATTTCATTGTTTTGTATCTTTAAAGTAACATTTTTGTATTTTCTGGAAAATACACAATGGTATTTATTTTGACTTTTATACCTAAAAAAGGTCATAAAACTGCCTGCGAGACAATAAAGTGACCGCTTTCTTGCCAAATCAAAAACGACAAAAACACTAAATGCTTGTACGAGTTAACAGATTTAATACCAGTTTAAGGAAGTCGGATATGACAAATCCTATGAAACAACTCCACTCGGATTCACTCCGAGGGAGGAGCTGTATCGGAGTCATAACTCCGGAGTGAGTTACCCATCTCTAATTGAAATCCATATGGTCCAGAGTATTAATATTTTAAAAGTTATTCACGATTTATAATATAAATGCACTTCTGATGAATTAATTTTGTCAAACACACCTCTAGTAATAATGTAGACAACAAGGTCCTAAGATTAGTATTAGCTAAGATTAGAATATTATTTTATTTTTAAACTAATTTGATTACATAAATTTAATTAGTTTATATGTTTTCCTGGATTGAGTTAATTGTAGTTTAATTTTTTTCAAAACACTTGCTACTTAACAATAATATCAGGACCACCATTGGGTGGCTGAGACATCTTATCTTCTTTATATTAAAAAAATCACTAGATATATATGTTTAGATAATTGCATTATTAAAATAAATTTAAAAAAAAATGATAGGCGGTTTTAAATGAAAACTAATATTAAGTTGTAGAGTTGTTTTATCTAATTGTACTATTTACAATTATATAAATTAAATTAAGTAGATTAACATTATTTATTTTATCCATTTCGAGTTCTATAAATGTATTTTATTAAAGTGTAGACGTCAACTGTAATCAGTAGCTATCAACTGATTATACTGTGCTATTATACTATATTATTACTGTGCATATGCTTTCTGATAGATTCTGATTAGAATCGCTTGAGTGTGCAACAAAATTCTGAATTTTGATGAATTTCTATAATACAACCGCTTATCGTAGGCCTATAATCTTTTAGTATAAGTTAGTATATTTTAGACTACAAAAACTACTGTTACACAATGTTTTATCAAACTCGTCCAAAAAAATTCTAACATTTAATTACAAAGATTCGGCTAGTCTTTACGAAAAACTAGTCAATGCGTTTCCTGGCCAAAATTTTTCGAACAGTTTATGACTTTTAAGATTGAATTTTTTTAAGAATGAGTTTTGTCAAGCAGCTGTAAGAGTAAACAAATTAATTGAATGCTTTAACTATGTGGCGATATCAAGCAGGCTGGTTTTGATTTGTAAAAAACAATCGGACATGTCATGTATATTTTTGATATCGAAATATTTTTACAGTTAATAAATTTATATTTTTTTATTATGTTGGGAGTTTCTAATTTAATATATTATCATAATCATTACTACTCCCACAACTATTATGAAATATATAATAAATAAATGTATTTTCACAACTTCGATACGATAAATTTTTATCAAACTAAATTAGCCTCAACTTTTTCTAACATTTTTTGTTTTAATTGGTTTTTAATAGCAATTTTTCACTTATCATAAATAAATAACAAAAACCTAGTTTGTAAAAACTATTGTAAATATTGTAGCTAGCAATATTTATTTATAAAACGTACATATACTTTTTTAATCGTGAATAACTTTTGGATAACTAATCTTGTGCTATAAATACTCAAACAATATAAACAAATTTTCAAACAAAATCTTTTTTAAATTTGATTAAACCCTTTAACAAACTTGAAAACAATGACAACAAATGAATATTGTTGAAATAATTTTTTTGATTGAGAAGGTATAAGGTAAAAGGACTTTGAACCACCTTCCATAACTTCTGAACCATTTAATTAAAATTAATAATAATTGATGTATTTGTGTAATTTGTATAAAATTAAATAATATACACGTCTGTCTAATATTATACACCCTACGACAACTAAGTATACTCATTATAGACACCAGAAAATCACTTAATTAGAGTGATTCGCATATCGTTTATAATATATATTTGCATGTGTGTGTAAATATATGTGCAGCACCTGAATGCTGACTAATTAATCAATTCGGTTTATCACTCTGCAAATAATTAATTAATTAAATAAATAAATAATTAATCGGCATCCAATCGAACGGTCGATTGCGTTCGACGGTTTTGTATGAGTACTTCTGTTGTTAAATCATAATTACCAATAATTTGCTTGAAATTAATTTGTTCAAACAATTTCGAAACAACAGAAGATAAATTGTGTATTTGATAATCGGCTATTAGTGAGTAATTGAGTGTAAACAAATCAGTATACTCATGAAAATGATTTTTATACTACCATTTTTATTTATTTAATGCAATTTTTATTTTAATTATTTACTAATCTATTTACCTTCTAGATCATAATGGCATTGAAGTACCACGGATTCTCCACTTGGTACTGCTTCTGGTATCGTCATTACCACATTTCTTAAACATTTCACTTCTGGAAAGAAAAATAAAAGGAGACTTTAAAAATTTTGGTAAGAAAATACTCTCATTCTAAAAATAAAAGTTTTCAGTTTGCTTCATTGTTAAAATATTTAAAAAGTATTGAAAATAATGAGCTCATTTTAAAATTCAATAAATTAGTTTTTCACTTAAACTAGTATTATTATTATTTATTAATTTTAAACAGTTTTTGAATATAAGATATTTAGAAACTATAATACTAGTTGAATATTTAAGTTGAATTTATTTAATATTTAATTCTACGGATTCTTGATGATTAATAATATTATTAATATTTATTTTAAATTTTGGTATAATAAATTAAATAACCGAATAAAATAAATTAGTTTTTCAGTTTTTTTAAAATAAATTTGTATTTTCTTAATAAATAATAATAGACCAATCATAACTTATTTTTGATCATTATTATTATTAATATATAAACATTAGATCACCACTAATATTACTAATAATTTAAGTTTAGGTTATTCTTATTTAAACCAAAGATATTAATTTGACTAATAACAAAAATATAGACATTTTTTTAATAATTTTAATCCTACAAATGTTTGATGATTAACATTATTATTAATATTTATGTTAAATATAGGTATAATAATTTATTAAATAACCGAATAAAATAAATTAGTTCTTCAGTTTTTTTTAAATAAATTTGCATTTTCTTAAAGCTATTAGGTTCATAAATTAAAAAGATTCTTTTAAAATTTTGAAATTTTTAAATAAATTAGTATTTCCTTAAACCCATCGACTTCATAAAATAAAAAGTGTCTTCTGTATCAAAATCGCAAATAATTTTTTTTATTTTAATTTCCCACATTTGTTACTTTTTAGCAGTTAATTTATGTTGTATATATTAATACAATTATTATTAATCAGTTCATAAATCGTTTAAAAATATCGAAAACTATACAAATCAATTAGATCTATCTTAAATCTGTAATTATAAGTACAAATTTAAAATCATAATTATAAACAATACATTCAAAAAACAATAATAAAGTATCACCATAAAAATAGTAATTTTATTATTGCAAAGTACTCTATTAAACTTTATATATAATTAATATATAATATATGCATATTAATCTATTTTTATATCAAGAAGTCCTGAACTCTGCAGATAATTTTTATCAGTATGACAAATATGTTTATTGCAAATTTGTACGAAAAGATAACAATAGTATATAAAGTTGATATACGTTTATAATATAATTTCTACAAAGTTTTTTTATAATTTTTAAATAGATTGTTCAATTTTCTTCTATTATTATTGAAGGAAAAACAAAATATAACTAACAATAAAATAGTACAGTTAATATTCTCTGTAAACAATTTGCTATTGGAATAATAACTAATATTTTAAAATAAATTGTTTAATTAAATGCTACTAAATTGTAAATAGTAACACGATGATATATTAAATTATAACAAATAAATTCTATATAACAATAAATATCGAAAATTAATTGATAAACAAAATAAACAATGGCTTGAAATATTATATTACCATAAAATAATAAATATGAATATAACATAATAGAAAAATTATATATTTGTATGTTTTAAAAATAATGTTTCAGTATTAAACTATATAAAAAATTATATGAAATATAATAAAATAATGTTATTAATAATTAATCAATTTAATAAAAGCAAATATTTTATTAAATATTATATATATGGCTTTGAAGCAAATTAAAACGCTTTATGGAAGTTTTAAAATATGTATTTAAATAAATTGTTTTTGATCATACTATAATTTAAATAAATAATAATATAAATTGATAACAACAACAAAAAATCTGTGCACATACACACACACATACTTTTTCCAAATTTGGTCTCACTCGATTCAGATTAGCTTGAAACGTCAAGAAAACATAAAATTGGCGAATCGGATTTTTTATGAAAACATAAACTTCTCCTTCGGGAAGTTAATAATTCGGAATATAATATTAGTATAAATTAATAATATTTAAACATTTTGAAACAAAACATACTCTATTTATACCAATAAAGTACAAATTATTTATTTGAATAAATAAATAAAATATATATTAGCCAAACCACTATATTTTTAGAAGAAATTTGTGTTAATTAAATGCAATTACATATAAAAAAATAATGGGAGTGTTTAATATTCAAAATTTTATAGTACTTTGATAATAATAATTAAAATATATATCATTTATAAGAATTTGAATCCAAATTGTGCAAAAATTGAATATATTTTATTTATTTTTAATTTAAATAAAATATATTCTTTTTTTGCACAATTTGGATGCAAATTCCTATAAATGATAAATTATATATTTTAATTATTTTTATTATAAGAAAATGTTATAACGTGAATTATTAAATATAAATTATAGAAATTTGAGTATTTGTTATTATGATAAAATGACAAATGAACAAATTAAAGTAATAAACAATAATAAGAAGATAAAATTATGTAGTTATTTAAGAATTGTTGATAAATAGATCCATATTGATGTAGTATTTTAGTTATATATATATATATATATATATATATATATATATAATAGCAATTTACATTTAATTCCGAGTGTTATGTTTGTTAACACAAAATAATTACATTTTCATTTAAATGTACAATTAAACTCTTGGAATTCGAGATTTACCTTTGATACAACCACCTGCAAGTAATAACAAGAAAATCCACTTTACAGTAAAATAAACTGAAGGCATTTTTCACACACAACTTTCACGCACAATTTACACGCAAATCGTTTTCTGAGTTCATAAAATAATTATTCAAGTGTTAATAAATTATGACATTATGATAAATATGTATGTAGACTGGACATAATATTTTTTTTTATTTAGTATTATTATTTTAAATTTATTTATAACGACTGTTTCTTTCTTTCCTTCGCCGTGCGTCCGCGCGGTTCGCTGGTCGACGGTGGACTGAATACGAAAGCTCGGAGAGGCGATCACAGAGCTTTTGCCGGAGGGCGAATAAAGTTCGGGAGCTTTCGTTCTGTGAGAGTGAGATGGGAGGGTAGTTGATGAGGATGCATGAATGAGACGCATGACATTCTAAAAGTCCGGATAGTACGACGAGGTTTAGGAGACACCGGATTAAATGTATTTTTTAGGGAAAAAATTATGATTATTGCATATTTTTTATGAAAATGTATTAATTTTAGTATTTTTTATCATAATAAATATTTAAGTAAAATAATTTTGAATAAAGGAAATGATAACTTTGTTATAGATAATAATGAATTCTTTTGATGCACATCTAGTTTCTAATTCTATCAAATATCGAATGCAATTTTCTTATAAAAGGAAAAATAATTATTTGAGTTCTTACAGTATACATTTAATGTTTATAATTTATATTTATTCTCACTGTAGTGTATAATTATTTACTTTGTAATATTAATAGATATTTAATTTATTAAATTTATGATGAAATATTTATAATTTAAGTTAAGTTTCTTGTCAATATGAATTTATATATCATTTGAAGTTTATAAAAATTTAAAAAAAAATATAGAACTAGAATTATAATATGTATATATATATATATATATATATATATATATATTAGCAAACCCGACGAACTTTGTTTCGCCACCAGGTGGTTTCGTGAGAAAGATAAAGAAATTTCTGGAAATTGCAATCGTTTGAAGTCAAACGAAAGACCAGTCGGAATCATTGGTATGTCACCAAATCGCCAGCAATTTTTGATTGAATGGCGAAATTCAGTGCGTGTACATCATTATTCTTTGCGGCAAGAATTGCTCGTTAACTTAACCAAGCATAATTCTGATAATTCATACTAATGTCATTACTAGAATTTTTAATTACGGTGCGTGAAGTTCCTGCAATTTGCATTAAGGCACATTGCCATGCACCACTAATTTTCTTAGCTATAAACCTTGCGTAGCCCGAGCCCTTTCCAACGAATGCGAAGTTGTCGAAATCGGTTCGTGCGTTCTGGAGTTATATCGTCAGGAAGGAAAACCCGACTTATATATATATATATATATATATATATATGATATTCAGTTTTCAGGGCAATACATCAATTAAAAAATTTTTATGACTTTAAAACATTTTTATTTATTCCATACGTTTCGACACATTGTTTTGTGTCATCTTCAGTGGACTCTAGATTGAAAGAACAGATAGAAATTATTGAATAAAACTAATATATAAGAAGTGATATGGTATGAACTTACATGTAATTGAATTAATCCTAATTATTTCATATTATAAATGTTCACAATGCACAATTCTAATTATTTCATATTATAAATGTTCACAATGCACAATCCTAATTATTTCATATTATAAATGTTCACAGTGCACTAAAAAACCAATCCTTGTCATTTTAAGTTGAACAATATATAAATTTTTGACTGAGATTTTTATGAATTTGTGAAGTACATCACGCCGTACATTTCTGTGCTCCGATGTACGGGTGACTACTGAATGTACGTCAATGTGCGAACCACATGTTGAGGGCTAAGGTACAAGACAAACGAACTGACCAAAGAATTTAAGATTTGACAACGCGAGAGGGTACATATAGTGAAATATGAAAACATGACAATTGTGAGGGTGGACATAATTAGTAAAATTGAGATCAAAATTAAAAGAAAAAGAAAAAGAAAAATTGGCATTAAAATTAATATAATTAAACGTCGATCATGATAGGTAACTACTTTAAAGGTATGAATTTCGAGACATTGTTTAAGACTACTTGGTAATTCTCGCACAGTGAGGAAGTATCCAATCTTTTGTTCAAACTATTTTTGTAAAGGTGTATCAGACAAGATTCTGAAAAGCGTCTCTGAGATGTATTCGATTCGTGATATAAAATTGTGGCCACATCAAAATTGAAAATATGATTGAAACTTTGTATGTGGTCAGTTATCATTGTTTGATTTTGATTTTTATTTTTGGAATTGTTAT